AGATTGAGCCAAGAGTCTTTGAGGCAGTTCAAAGAGCAGGAGATTTCCATGACCTAGGCCCCAGTTCTGCACAACACTTTGTAGCCAGGACTGCTTTCCCTAGGGAAGCTGCAGGTTGAGACCATCTCTTCTTCCCTCAGAGTAGCACAAAAATGAGCTTCAAGCTACATCCAAAGCTGGATGTGGCTGCACATTGCAGCGGGTGGCAGGGGCAGTGCAGAAGAGGGAGCCTCAGAACCAAAGTGAGAGACAAGGGAGGGCTGTGGTAGCTCTTCTGCTAGACTGTGCTGTTGGGTGCCTGGTCTTAGTATGTAACTATTGAGGAGAGCACCAGCCTGAAGGGGAGACATGAATAAGCAGAGGACAGCCTGGATAAACAACTGGTCACTGGGAAAAATGAAAGACTAGGATTTTTTAAGGATCAAAGCAGAAATAAAAATCATATAAAATAAGAACAGCTTCAAAATATAATTTAAGCTACACAAATTGCAACAATGCCTACAGGTTTTCTAGCTTATTTTTGTTTCTTCCCCTCCCTCCCACCCAGAAGACATGAACATATTAGAAAATATCACTGCCTAGTCTTATGCAACCCCCACCCCAAACTCTTCTAACAAGACAAATGAGTTCATTATTTAGTTGTTCACTAAACAAACATAGCAAGCAAACATCAAAGAGCAGTTTGTGTCATTAACTGACTGCACATAGTTGGATGCAATCACTTGCGATCCAAAGCAAGTTTTGGGTTTCTGTCCATACTGATTTATCTCACTGATCAGGGTCAGAGAACAACAACTTTCAACATTATACTAGATGGCAATGCCTTACCAGTGTAGATGCTGGCATTGGAAGCTGGGATGCCAAACTGTGACTCGATGAACTTGGGAATGAAGGTAATAAAAGCTGTAACAATGGCACTCTCAGCTGTGTATGACAAACTCACAAAAAGGAATGTCATGTTGCTTAAGATCCTGACAGCTGCTCTTGGAAGCTCTATAAAATGACAAAAAAAATGACAAATGAATGTTATAAATCATGAGTGAAAAAATCAAATGCAAACTGAAACAAAACAAATTGATTTTCTTTGAGATGGACTGTAGCTAATGGCTTGTTAGCATCTGGCTACATTTGCTAAGTGGAAGGAAGAGAGCACATATTTTGGATTGCAATCTCTTTTGTTTGCTCTTTTGCTGTCTTACAGTGTCACCCTGGGGCTGCGGCCCCATTTTCACAAATAGAACAGACGTCTGCTTTAACAAATCTGTCTGGAGAAACAGGGTCTACATGGTAGCATTAAAAGAAAGGATAAACAGCAAGAATATGTCACAAATATGGAATTATACTGATGTCTTATTTCAAAATTTTGTGGGAGATCATAGGCATATCACACTGCTGAGCTTGGCAGCACTGAATTTTGACACCACACAAGGAAAACAAATCACATGCTTGCTTAAAAGTCTGCTTGTGGAATTCAGGGTTAATATTCTAAGTTGAAAAGGATATCAAAAGATTTTTAAATTAAAAAAAATGCAATTAAAAAGCACATGTAGATAAAGCATAATGATGTTATCGGTATCAACAAATTTTATATATCCACAGTTCATTTAATACCCCCAGAAGGAAGAAAACTATAAACCAAAAGTGATGTGTTCTCATTAACTTAAATGGAAAAGGTATTCATAATTATTTCAAATATTAAAAGATGAAATTCGGAACTGAAAAAGCACTTCAATACCTTAAATTCAGTCCTGAAGCGATATCAGATGTTCATCATAAGATGATGATAACTGCATCCAAGATTTTTTTTTTGGCGGGGGGGGGGAGGTAAGGGGGGCGATTTTGTAAGGTGATTACTAAATAGTTTGTTTTGTTTTGTTGGTGTTTTTACAAGGCCAAATGTTCAGCAAATCTTATATTCAGCCTAATGTAGTCTGGGCTTTTTTCATTTGCTTTTCTCTTTGTATGGAAATTGAATACGGTCTCAACTAAAGCCCACTGAATTCAACGACCAGAATTCCCATTAGAAATGTAAGATATTGAATAAGTGCAGAACAGCAGGACTCCTGAGTGAGACTGCTAAAAGCTGCCAAGGCAAAAATCTGTCTCACTTACTCAAGTGACTTCAGTAGGTTGTCTAAATAAAAGAACCAGAATTTAGATTCTTGTCATGTCAAAACTTGTCAGACTGCAAATTAGCACCTAAGTCGTCTGACTGCACCGATCGTAGCTTCTGCCAGTCCTCAGAAATTAGAGTGAATTCATTATGAGGACAGGATGTGTAATTGTAATGTGGCCAAATGCTCTCCTGCTGCCTCTACAAAGAAAAATATTAAACACTAAAAATAAAATTTGGTGTAAATAAGTAATGAATAAATCCTATTAGGAAGGACTCATATTCAAATCCTCATGTTTTTAAGCACCTACAGTTTTAGGGTTTTTTTTTTTAATTATGGTAGTGTAGAATAGCCAATCAGGAAGAAACAAGGTGACACAAGTAAGAGGCAATGTGATATCAGTGTGAATATACAGAAACTGTATTGCAGATGTACATAAATATCTTTGGAAAGTCATTACTGCAGCAAGCACAAGCAGAAAAGAGTATTAGAACTTATTGGCAAATATGCTGCCGGTTCAAAACACAGCTGATCAATTGTGTTATCTCACTGTGCAAGAGGAAATGAAAAAGGACAAACAAATCAAAGCTCTACAGTACCATTAAATGGGACTACCTCGTCATCTTCTGCTTTGTGCTTCCTTTTAGTTAGCCTTTTGCTTCAGCTGAAGGGGGCTCGGATGCAAAAAGCAAACAAAGGACGAGAACCAAGGCTCTTTTTAACCCAGATTTTGCCAAGATGCATCAAGCAGATGGGATGCTCTCGCTAGCATTTTTGTTTGATTTTTGTCCTCCCTATCAAAGTTTCAGCAAAAGAATAAAGGTATGTGTTTGAAAACTGCTTATATATGTGAACACGTCTGGGCAGTAACAGCGGGAGAAGCCCCAGCTCTGAGCCATGTCATGGGTCTACACCAGCATTTAAACTGTTCATAGCTATCAGAATCAGGTAGGGTATCTGTGCACAAGTATCACTGTTCCAAAAATCCCAGAGCACTTGAGAAAGGAACACAACCAAATGTCTTTCATGTTTCATGCTCCCAAGCAGATAACAATGATGTAGAATAAGTGTTGGCAGAAGAGTGACTGTGAACAAATCTTATCCATTAAAAAGCTACATTTATATACCTGGCAGCTCCTCACAATAGAATACAAGTGGACAAAAATAATAAGACAGTAACTTTCAAAAGAGTGGACATCAGGGCAAGAAATGTCATTTTATCAGGATAACGGTGCACTGAAAGTCCTTGGCCCAGACTAAGTCCAAAATCTTTGCTAAATCTCATGATTTTAAAGAGTCAAAATGTCATAATACATGGTAAGGTTCAGCTCTTCCTCGTAAAACAGAAATTCAGGAAAGTTTAAGGTTTAGAACCTTTGATGTAAAAATACTAAAGAATTAATTACCTAAAAGAACTGGATCTGAACTACACTTTGGCAAATGTTCCAATGAGGAGGTGTTCTTTCTGTTGGCTCCTACTTACATCTTTCAGGATACTGAGTGCCTGGTACAAAAGTCATTCATTATTAATATGAGAAATAATATTTTCAAACTGGGTTTCTACAGACGAGTAGATAACACTCAGGCTGTCTTGGAACAAACACAAGTCTCTAACAAGTCTTTTAATCCTGTGAAGGC